GGTGCACACTGCGATCGGATCCTTGCGGTTGAGGTCCAGGGGTGCACACTGCGATCGGATCCTTGCGGTTGAGGTCCAGGGGTGCACACTGCGATCGGGTCCTTGCGGTTGAGGTCCAGGGGTGCACACTGCGATCGGATCCTTGCGGTTGAGGTCCAGGGGTGCACACTGCGATCCGGAGCTGGCCAGACAAGATCGGCGAAGCAGATTCGCGAAGCAGATTGGCGATGAAGATTGGCGAGGCGATGAAGATTGGCGAGGAAGGAAGCAAGGAGGAAGGAAGGAGGAAGAACAACTGTGATAAAATCTAACAACCCTCACCTGGCAGGTGGGGAACAAGTCAATCCCAAAAGTCAAAGTCAAAAAAAAGTCAAATCAGAAAATGTCATAAAGTCACACACAAGTCAATTTGCACGGATCTGATTTTGTTTTGATTTTTCGATGCTTTTTGACTTTTTGTTGCCGGTTTTACGACATGTTTTGACTTTTGTTCGACTTTTCTTTTTAACTTTTTCGAGTGATTGACGTTTTTTTGACTTTGTTGTTTTTACTGTTTCGAGCTGTTTTTGATTTTTTACGTTGACCTTTTTGATGTTAAAAAACTGTTTCGAGCTGTGGCTATGTTTGATTTTTTTGACATTCTTTTGATTTTTTTGACTTTCAATTTTACGTTTTTGTGACTTTGACTTGTCCAGTTGACTTGTTTTTTGACTTGTTTTTCGCTGACATGGGTTTGATTTACTTGGGCTGTGTCTTTTTTGGGGGGTACTAGGGACTATTGATCAAAATGTTGCTTGACTTTAGACTTTAGACAAGATGCTGCATATGAGGACAAAGTGTAGTAGAAAGTGGACCTTCACCACGAGTCGCTGACGCATTCGAGAAGGACAACTCTTCGAATGAGTGACCACTGTTTTTTCATGTGTTTCATTTAAACCAAATGAGCACGGAAACACCGAGGTCTTGTCGGCCCGGAAGCTACTCTACTCCTTGGTGGGCTCAAAAGATGGCAAGGCCAGGTGTGCCAGGTGTGTGTTTTTTGAAGACCGGGGGTGGGGGTAGGCCGCTAGTAGAGGTGAGGTAGGTTAGCTAGGTAGCTAGTAGAAGCTAGGTAGCTAGTTCCTTACTTAAGCTACTAGCTAGGACGCAGGATAGCCCACGCTATTCATTTGGCTCCTGGATGTTTAGGGAAAATTAACTTGTGAGTGTGTGTTTTCTTGTAAGTTGACCCCGTTCTGAAATGGGTGTTTTTCCCCTTCCGTCTTCCACAGTGTAATCATGTCATTTCATTTTTTGCAAAAAACATAGATTTGGATGGCTCGGCGTGGATCATTCAATATCCAGGTGAACCTGGGGGTTGGAGTTGCGCAGGCTCAAACAGAAGCCTTGCAGCGCATCCTAAGGCACTGGGACCAGGGGATCTGGAGGATTTGGAGGGATGATGAGGGAAGTAGTACATGAAAGTGTGAGTTTTTTGGGAAACACTAAAGCTACATCAAATCAATCGCATTCCATGAGATACACGTCTGTTCTTACCCCATTTTCTGTCTCCTCCTCTTGTCAGGTGTGATAACTCAGGCCCCGTTGTTCGGGGTTCTTACTTGCAAAAGTTTCAAAAGAAAGCTGAAGTGCAATGAACATGTAGTTTCAGTCTCTTTGAAGCCTACCTAGACCGATAAACATTGACTGTTGCGAATACAAAGTACTGGTGTTCATGAGCAATTTCTCTATAGAAGTGTGCTAAATATAGTTCGATTTGGTTTGCCATTCAAGATGTTTTGCTTTGCGGTTGCCTCAACAAAAATGTTCTTTAAACAAGTATATACATCCATTTGTTCGTGGCGACTTGCAGGATGCCGGTCCACAACATCATGCTTGCACTCTACCCACGAGCCCGGAAAGCCCAGCGGATCCATATTCCGGGAAGTCCTGGCATGTCCCACTATGGCTATCCTATCAAATTCGCTAGGAACGCGCGCATCTTTCCCTTTGCCGTGAGCATGCTCAGTGTGTCGGTAATTGGCGCAGCCTTTTGAAGCACACGACAAGACAGCTTTGCCAACCAATATGCCAAGTTGTTTTTTTGCTTAAACTTCAAGAGGTGTATCCTCTACCTGGGAATACACCAGAAGGAGTTGATCTTCCCAGGCTGGCGTGCAAGCTTGATCTGGCACTATTGAAAGATGTTGAAAGCACCGACGAGCAATGCACATCATGTGGGACGGAGAGTGAGAGGAGCACATTTTGCGGGCAGAACGCAACTCAATTTAATGGCAAGGAGGCTGCCTGTTGCATGTAGCAGCCATGATGTAGGGTCATTAATGTCCTGGAATTTTGTGTCAAAAACTGATGCAAAGACATCGAACCTTTCCAGGCATTGCCCAGCAGCAGAGGAGCAAGTGTCCAGGCAGACTTGATTAGGATGCAGATAGATCGCCCCGCGCTGCACATGCTCATTCGCAAGTAACAGGCATCGCATCTCTCAAGATACAGGCACCAAGCAAGGCCGTTAATTCAGCCGAACGTTGCTCTTCCCCGAGTATTGGTCATGTGTGAGACGTGGGGTGGTTGTCCTTCGGCACAGGTGCAGAGCCCTCCCTCTTGGATTTTGTAGCTTTGTTGCATTGCACATGCTTGGCGCTCAAATTCTGAGTGCATGCAGGGGGCCAGCGCCTGCCTACCTGGTGACCAATGGCTTCGGCATGTGGTATCACCAATCAGGATCGCTGCTGGGAGAATTTAGTATAGTAAAGGGATTACTTGCAAAATTGCTTTGAATTTGGATTTGTATGTATGTTATGTAATGGTTTGGCATGGTATGATATGGTACAGTATGGTATGTTTGTTATGCATGTATGTACATATATATATATATATTCCCCAAACAGTGGTGTGGAGACACTTAGGGGTTCTTACGGTAGTGGTTAAGCAGCTGTGCTTAGATCGCTGGGGCGCGCGGGCGTTAACGGCTAATTCACTGCTATTTACAGTGCATTCATGCCTCTCGAAATCCTCGAAGTGCATTTCGACTGCGCAGGCTCGCGAAATCTGGGCGGCGGCGGTGAGTGCTTGTCGCGACTGCGCTCTCGCTGTGGCGCCGTGCGCATTTTCGCACATGGTGATCACTTTGCGTGGCAGGCGCAAGGGAAACCTCGTGTTTTGGTGGTCCAAATTTCGACTTTTCGTGACAGGCGCAGGCGATCGGAGCGGCTTTACTTCGAAGCGCAGATTTCGTGGCAGGTGCGCACTTTGGACATGGTGGTGATCGTCGAGGCGACACTCACACTCACACTCACACTCACTCACTCTCACTCGCATCCACTCTCACTATCTCTCACTCATACTCACACTCACATTCACTCACACTCACACTCGCCCACTCACTCTCACACTCACTTTCACTCTCACTCTCACCCTCTCACTGTCACTCACGATCTCACTCACACTCACACTCACCCGCATATCTCTCACTCACACACTCACACTCACTTTCGCCCTCGCCCTCTCACACTCACTCCCACTCTCACCCACTCTCACTCCCACTCTCACTCACTCTCACTCTCACTCACTCTCACTCTCACTCTCACCCTCACACTCTCACTCACACTCACACTCACACTCACCAACCGCCGCCACCATCACCACAATCTCCACCTTCACCACCACCATCACCTCTCTGGACCCCAATGCGTCTAGATCTCTAGACTTTCTGCTGCTACACGTCTAGACCTCACACACACACACTGTTTGGGGTCTCTTGCCGGGATGCTGTTATGCTAATGTTACGCTATGTTATGTTAGTATGTATGTAATGTACTGTACTGTACTGTGCTGTACTGTAATGCCATGCAATGCAATGCAACGCAACGCAATGCAATGCGCATGCATGGATGGATGGATGGATCGATGGATGGATGGATGTACACCTGTACACACGTACACCTGTATGTAGTACATACACACATATATATATATATACATAGCGCGTTACTTTAATGTATGACTAGTTAGGTATATATATATATATGTATGTAATCAGAGAATCAGAGTGAATGTTGAGGTCTTGTTGAGATTTCAAGTCCAGGTGTTCGGATCAGATGAGGTTCTTGATCAACTTCCGAACATCTAAAAGGAAGTGTGCCATGTCTCCGATGGCACAACTCTCCACACAACATGGCAAAGTCTTTTGCTTGCTGCGACGCGGCCGGCCGCGATGGCTCGGTCAGGCGATCGGCCAGAGCTACGAGAGGCTGCCGGTGAGCTGGCCGAAAGGCCGAGAGTGGACTTTGTCGATCATGGGGGATTTATTTTTTAAACAGCCCGGGAGGCGAGGGGTAGGTCGCTAGGAGAAGAAGAAGAGGTAGCTACGGTAGCTATAGTATGCTATTAAGTAGGACGCAGGATAGCTCACGTTTCTTCAAGGAAGCTCCCCCGCCTAAGGAAGCGCTCGCACTAATGATTTGATTCCTACATTTTTAGAGACACTTGATGTTTCATGGGTTCACTTGGTCAGTAGCTCAAGAGCGGCACAGGATCAGAGAGGTGCTTCAGCCGGTCTCAGCCCCTTGGACGCGATGAAATAATCGTAATTAACTCTTTTGTTTTCGATTCTATGAGGTATGCATGTTCAGTTTGAACAATGTCTTGAAGGTTGTTGGACCCCTCGAATAGAGATTTTGAAACACAAATTGTTCCAATTTGCTGGACCATCACCACAGTATTTGAACACAGTACCAAGTTATTGAGTATCGGTATCGGCTGCAGACTTTTTTGGTCAGATGTTGATCATTGCATATCATTGCGCGAATTCTTGCTTTTGAATTCCCCCCTTGCTGGCCTTTCGGTTCTTGTGTGGGCATTTGTGGGCCCTTTGGTCGGACGTAAGGACTGGATTCCACTATTTGACTTGCCGCGCCTATCTGTTCCTTTGAAGACGGAGGCGCACCGATGGCAGTCTGTCCGGTCCTGTTCTAGTTGATCGCCGATTAGGCAAAACAACGCAGGATCCCAGAAGTCACGAGTCGTATGGAGTCGCGAGATGTTTAGAGATTTTACGATATTTTAATTTTGCGTTGGCAATATTCTTGCGAAACAATTCGCCACTAGATCAGAAGTCCAGGTTTACCGGTACACGGGCTGGCGACGGCGACCGGCAGGAAAAGATCATGCAGGAGGCTACCCCAAGCGGCCGGCCTCGCTATGGCAGTCAGGGGCCTTCAGTACAAAACCTTGCAACACAAATCGGAAGAGGGGCAACACATGACAACAATATCTATAAATCGGCAACAATCCGAGCCAGCTCATTATCTCGAGCTGCACTCACTTGGGTGTGCTGGATGTAGCTGGATTGGATGGATGATGAATCCATGATGGATTCAGCTCGGTGGATCGGACGGCTACTAGTAATCGGGATTAGCAAGGACGCTACCGTCGGAAGTAGGTTGGAGGTCATCGCTACTAGTAACAAGAAGCTACTATGTCACAGAACACAACAAAACAAGGACGACGGAGATGTGGGCACCGATGGCAAGGTCGCACGCCACACATTGCAGCAGTGGCGAAGAGCTCTTCCGAGCACATCTCTTGGCCTGAGAAGGCCGCACTTAGGAAAACCCTCGGCTTGTAGGATGTGCTGTTTGATGTTGTTTGTGTGAACTATTTCTTTTGGAGATGAGGATGTTCAAAGACATGTGAAGTCTTTCACCCAACCATATCCAACCACTAATTCATTCTATTGTAATTCAAGAGAGGCACATAGAGGCCATGCGCTCGCTGACACTATCTCTTGACCCACAAACAACAAACAAACCATTGTGCAAGGTGTTGCTGTCCTCCCTCTTTGTCGAAGACACGGGTGTTGGCTACTCAGTGGTGCGAAGACCGGGACAAAGGCATGAGATGGCAGCAGACAGCGGTCTTTCTAATGGTAGCTGCCTCAGGTCACAGAGATGTCGTATTCTGACTGGGTCCTCTTTCTTCAGGACTCTATGGGATTAAAGAACTGGCTGTAGCCGCCCGAGCACTGAGAAAACACATATGATAAGCAAATGATCAGCACCGATGGTCACTGCTCGTCTATTCGACAGCCTGTCCCCAAGCTTGAGAGTGATGCCACCACACTGCACAACAATATTCGGGCAAAAGACAGCAGACTAAGTTCATGTTCCCATGTTTGGCTCTTTGAACTTTTGAGATGGTGCCTGTGTTTCTATGCTTGAAGACGTTTAAAGTTTAAAGTTTAGGGCCTTGGCCTTGACTTCAATTTTTGTGACTTTGAATTCAGAATGCCTTACTGTAAGTTGTTTCATATCGTTTCATCTTTTGATTTGTTTCGTGGCGCTCGGCCTTCCCCTGTTTCTTCTCAGGAGCAGTTGGCTCTTCGTCTCTCCGAGAGCTAGTGGGACTCGCCAAAGCGATCTCCCGCAGAGAAGCTCTCCCCGTTTGTCGAACGTCGCGTAGGTGCAAATATGAGGCGATTCTGTCGCGAATGAAGAATCTTTCAAGGGACATGCGTGAAAATCGTCATTAGAACCCTTACTTGACCTATACAGCGACCATGATATTGAGCTTCTCTGAGAATCAACTTGAGCAGTCAGCATCGCAAAGCGTGGCAGGCTGAGGCTCAAAATTGATGTCTTATAACACCGTTGGCATTAACTACATTTATCTACATACATCATCACTTGTGGACAATTCACGTTGCTGTTGAAAAGGCTTTTGCTTCTTGTGGACGATGGTGATCATAATGGCCATTGGCAACATCGAGACAAGGGTACAGATCCTTGTCGCTGTTTTCCACGAGAATTTCCCAAGTTCGGTGCACAGCCTGATAATTTGAGGTAAATAATCTGATCAGGACTGCACCCTGCATGCTTTAAGGAAGCTTGGATTATCCCTCAGTTGGCCCACTCGCAACAACAGACGACAACAACGATTCGACGGTTGATGCCGGAAGGAGCTTTCGATATTAAATTGGGACCTTTCAATCCAAAAAAGACTTCGCTTTTCATCGCTTTTCTAAGCATTCTCTGGCTAGCTCCAAAGAGCTCTATCCAAGTTCCCTTGCTTGTGAGCTCCGCTGACCATCTGCGGCAGCTTCCACCTAGTGCAGGACAGCGACATAGTGACACAGCGCAGAAGGCTTTGAGCTTCTATTGACCGAGGTCACTAGATCACTAGACTACCAAAGTGATTTTAAGTCCCAAATGCTAAGATCCAAAGAATGCACGAAGGGAAACAGACAAATACCTTTGCAAATGACATGTTCGCTGCCTGGCGTGTTTAGCCGATCCATGGTGAAATCATGGATGGTCTTCGCTCCACAAGGAGCCAAGAGTCCAAAGACTTAAGTCAATTTCGCTCCAAACTAATGCCTATGCCCTGCACTTCATTCACACTTTGGGTCAATTTGTGGGTTATCAACGGAAATTCTAAGCCATTCATCCTGGCCGCGATAGTAGGTGAATGAAACAACATACGTACATATTCCGAAGAATTTGCCTCATCAGAAATTGGAGGTTAAACATGATGGAAACCATATCCACACAATTGGGATCCGACAAATGACAAATTTATGGATTCACCATAATTCATGCATTTGTTGGAGGGAAATCGATTCCAATAATTCTTTGAACCGACTCATTGAAATATTATATCGAAAAAAATATAAACACATATGAATAGGATTTCCTTTGGTAATAAATACTTATTTTTTTATGAAGAATCAATGAAAATCATTTCCTTATATATATATTTATTTTAGAATTATGATCTATTTAAATATATTCGAATTAATATAGTGTTTTTTGTTTTTTGAATATATATGTTTATATATTGATGATTATATTTGATATTTCTAAATATATAGGTAAATCGAATAATATATAATATATTTAAAAAATATATATATATTGGAATGATTATTTAATGATATAACAATGATATTGATAATATGTTAATTAAATTATATATATGATTTGATTTAAAATTATGAAATTGATAATCTATTTATTTTCGAGAAATTCGATATATGTATTTTTTTCGATTAATTAATAGAATTTGATATTGTTATTGCGAATTGATTGTGCGTGTGGGGGATATGGTGATAATAATTTATTAATGTGTTACATTGGAATTATGAATTATTTCTATATATTTTAAATTGAATTTCGGATGGAATTGATACGTATTGATTGTATATGCGCAAATGATATTGGATATTATTATTGATTATTAGGTATTATTATTTATTGAAAATTGATTATATATATATGAGGACGATAGGAATTTTTTATATATGAAATGGGTTTTATTGCTATACGAATGTAGAGGTATGGATTTTGCAATTTGGGCGCGATATTGATATTATTATGAGAAAATAATTTATTTACTATTTAAATATATGGCAAAGATCTAAAATAATTATATTAATATTATTAAATATATATTATATATATTTTTTTTTTAATTTAGAAATCAATTATTATATATTTAAAAAATAATATTCCCAATGGTATAATTTTGAATACAACGTGGAATCGAAAGCGAGCGTCGATAGAATGTGCCTTTGGTTCGTAGCCGGGAAGGCTAAAAGAGCAGGTGGGGCCAGGGTGCGGCAATGGAGCCCAGCATCCTCGGTCGGTTGGTGGATATGGGATGGACTCGGTCGAGCTTGGCCTTCTTCCATGAGATACCGGAGGCAGAGGTGGTTTCGCTCCTCCCGGGCATCGCAGAGGATTGGTCGAAGGAGGAGTTCATGTGGCTGCAGCGCGAAGCAAAGCGCCAGAGGGTCAAGCTCGACCTTGAAGACCACGTTTTCTTGCAACATCAAAAGTTGTTGTACAAAGATCAAGCTTACATAGAGAAACAGCTTGACAACACGGCCGCGGGGGAGTCAGAGATCGGCTTGGTCTTGGTCAGGGCAAGGAGAGCGTTACCGAGGGTGTCGTGGAAGACCCGAGCAGATCGGCTACTAGGACATCAACCCACGCCGGAGTTGCGTCAGGAGGTTGAAGAGAAAGAAAGGCAACGTTGGGTGCGGAAGCTCATCGAGCTCTTGGAGGTGACTGGTCTTGCCGAGGTCAAGGAGAAGAAGCCGGAGAGGTACACCTACTTCGCCTCTCGATTTGCTATGGGTCGCCGTGCGTCCACGATTCGACAACATGTCAGGTTGGGAAAGCTGCTGCAAGTCTTCATGGAGTCCGTCTTCGGAGTGCGGTGGCTTAGGCACGAAGGTGATTTAATTGCGTATATAGCCCTGCGCATGGAAGAACCTTGCGGCAAGTCTGTACCAGGGTCCTTGTTTAAGGCAGTGGCATTTTTGGAGCTAGCGGCCGAAGTGCCCATGGATCGGCGGGTTTCGGCATCCCTTGCACTCCAGCATTTTTTACTCGAGGCCGAGCGAAGTCAGGCCTGGACTCCACGGAGGGTCATCAAAGCCGCTCGGTTCACGGTGGGAATGGTGAGGGAGCTCGAGACGGCGGTCAGTGACATCACCTTGCAGCCCTACAAGAGAATCTTTGCATGGACGAAGCTGATCAAACTTTGGGGAGCGCTTCGGTGTCACGACATGGAGGGCGTGCCGCCTTCGACATTGCGGTACGACCCGGCCGTAGGTCTGGAAGGAGACATCATGAGGAGCAAAACAACGGGCACAGGTCGCCGCATTGAAATCATCCAGTTCCACGTGGGCAAGGAATGCTGGCTGGGCAATAGAGAGTGGATCCACACAGGACTGCAGCTCTTCGTGAACTTGGCCAGGGATTCGAAGCACATGGACAAGGACTTCCTCCTCCCGGTTCCCAACGACAACCTGACTGGCTTCAGGCGGCGGATGATGAAGTACCAGGATGCGATGGCATTTTCGCGGGCGCTCTGGTGCGAGCTTCCTTCAAGCATCAGGGATCAGGAAGGGCGCCCAATGAAGCTGCTGCAGCCTGAATCCAGCAGCTACTGGTCGGAGCATTCGGAAAGGATCACCATGATCAGCTGGGCGGCCGCCGTGGGCATCAGCAAGGAGGTCAGGCGGCGTTGGGGAAGGTGGAAACCCTCGGTCGACGAGGACTATGTCACGACCACCCGGAAGATGATTCATGACGCCCAGAAGCAGGTGGCTCAGAAAATTCGAGGTCAGTCAGACCTGACGGATGTGGTTGACGATCGTGCAGTGGTCAACAACTTCACCATTTGGCTCCAGGACGTGCACCACAAGACGGCCACACAGGCCAATCGTGAGGGGCAATGCATTGGTCCTCCGAACTGGGGACTGCCGCCGAAGCCTTTCGGGGAGGTGGTGGATCAGATCAATTTGGAAGGGGCACAGGAGGTCAGGAGTTCGCCGGCGGCACCTTCGCCGGATGCCGGCTTCTACCCGGATGACTCCCCCACTGAGGTTTTCGAGGAGGAGGACCACGCGGACCTTCCTGAAGGAGAACCGCAGTATCCACTGGGGACCTATGTTCTGGCCATCGTGGGCCGCGGGAAACGGCGCACTTTGCACGTTTCCGGAGGGTGTCATCGGCAGCCAGGTGTCCACTTCAAGGAGTTCGTGATTGTGGGCATGGAAAGGCCGGAGTTGGACCCTAAACAGGGTGAGGTTCTCTGCTCCACGTGTTTCTCGACACGTGCGAAGATGGCAGAAATCTTGGAGGCAGGCCCGGAGGGCGATGTGCCGAGCGATTCGGCATCCTCCTCGACAGACGAGGAGTCGGAAGCTGGAGACTGATCGAGCCTTGTGTGAGAAACGGGGCTGGTGGTGTTTTGGGGGGGGGCGGATGCCCAACCAGGCCAGGGTTCGTCGTTCGCGGTCGTTGGATGGGACGGAGCGCCCAGGTTGGTTTGGTGCAGGCCGGAGCGCCTGGGATGCCCTCGTGGGTTTTGGCTCAGGCCGGAGCGCCTGCCCTGGAGGGGTACCGACCGGAGCGTCGCGAGCCATGTTGGGCGTGAGCGAGGCGGAGAAGATCGCGGGCCTCGCCCCGGATTTGCAGGGTCTCCTTGACCAACGGGGGGTTGCAAAGGATTTGCAAGCAGGTCTCTACGACCTGGGGGTCACAAGCTTGGCCATGCTTTCGGCCGTGGCCATGGACAGGGGAGGCCTGGAGGGCCTGGCCAAATCAAGTCTGGGAATTGACACGGACGCGCGTCCGACGGACGCTATCAAGTTCGCTACATTGTTTCTGGCTTGGCAGTCGGCCAAGAAGAGGATCACCGTCAGGGACGAGCAGGATGCGGAGGCAGAGGTTCAACGGGCCCCCAAACCAATTCCAGGGGTTGAGCTTCAACTCTATCGGGCAGAGTTCCAGAAGAGGTTTTACAAACTGAAGGACTCGGAGTGCCCTGGAAAACCCAGCTTCGAGGATCTTTGCGAACAGCTGGACGCCGGAGAGCTGAGGGCGATGAGCCTCCGTCATTTCGGTTCGAGGAACGAGGACGACGAGGCAGAGACCGGGAACATCCAGCTGGGGA